GTCTCAGGTAGGACAGAGTCTCAGGTAGGACAGAGTGTCTCAGGTAGGACAGAGGGTCTCAGGTAAGACAGTGTCTCAGGTAGGACAGGGTCTCAGGTAGAACAGAGTGTCTCAGGTAGGACAGAGTGTCTCAGGTAGGACAGAGGGTCTCAGGTAGGACAGTGTCTCAGGTAGGACAGAGTGTCTCAGGTAGGACAGAGTGTCTCAGGTGGGATAGAGGGTCTCAAGTAGGACAGTGTCTCAGGTAGGACAGAGTGTCTCAGGTAGGACAGAGGGTCTCAGGTAGGACAGTGTCTCAGGTAGGACAGAGGGTCTCAGGTAGGACAGTGTCTCAGGTAGGACAGAGGGTCTCAGGTAGGACAGTGTCTCAGGTAGGACAGAGGGTCTCAGGTAAGACAGAGGGTCTCAGGTAGGACAGGGTGTCTCAGGTAGGACAGAGGGTCTCAGGTAAGACAGAGGGTCTCAGGTAAGACAGAGGGTCTCAGGTAGGACAGAGGGTCTCAGGTAGGACAGAGGGTCTCAGGTAAGAGATGAAGTTAATGGGCAGGTGTGAATGAAATCTAAAATGTTATTTTGAGTACATTTTATTCAGTTGTGTGATCTTCATGAGAGGAATAACTCATCTAAAAACATAACCTATTCTACAGCATGCTTAACTATTTTATTTTATTTTGACCAATATAAAAGTTATAAGCTTATTTAAATTTAACATTAATTTTTATGTGCTAGAAATTAGTTTTAATAATTGGGATTTTCCTGGTTGAATAATAGTTAATAAACCTGTCAATCCACCCATCATTAGCTTTAAGCTACATGACTCAAAGTTAGTGTCTTAATTATTGTATCAATCTGTTCACAACAGCATATATGTTTATATTTACATTTTTTAATCCTTCTATTTACTGAGCAGCTGAAAAGTATTAAAGAAAGAAAAATTTTAAATGTTTTGTAAATCCTTCTTTTTAATCCATCATGTTACATAGAAATAACAGAAACAAGTTTAAATCATGTTTATGGGGATTCCAACCTAAATCTTGTGGAAATAAAAAATATTGCATGATGACATCATAATTGGCATATTACATCATTAAGCCCCGCCCCCGAAGAAACTGTCCCGTATTTCAGAGGGACTGAGTTGGCAACCCTACACGGCTATGAATTAGTTTTCAAATATTGACCTACAATTTATGGTGATAGTAGCTGAGACTAGTCCCCAACACAATATCTCAACAGTAGCAAAATGCATATGTGAAGTCAACGTTGTCTATCTATTAGCTGTCTCACAAACCTTTAGAGCTGTTCCATCTTCAGAGGTCTCTACAGCGAGTCATGTTAAGACTGATTTTCATTCCTCTTCTTTCAGGTTCATATCCCTACCTCTTCAAGTTCTCTTCCATCTGTTCCCTGTTCTCACCWCAGATCACRTCATCTGCAAACATCGTAGCCTACAAGGATTCCTGCCTGAYTTCATCTGTCTTTARTTTTTTTACATTCCTRTCYACTCTTTTTAGTCCTCTCAATGTCTCATTTCTTTTTGGCTAACCTCTTCCTCTGATAACTACCACCAGCATTTGTCCTTGTTTTTTTTCTTTTCTCTCTATCCAGACACACCGAGTACCTGTCTCTCTAATTACTGTTGTTCCCAGGAGTCCAGTCATAAGCTCCTCTTTGAACTCCTCACATTCTTCCATCAGCTTCCACCATTTGGTCTTGTCTGATTTTACTCTTTTCCTCTTCTTCACCACAACAGTTATCTCATGCTGTCTGGCCACACTCTCCTCTGCCACAAACTTACAGTCCCCAATCTCCTTCAGGTTTCCTCCAGAACGTAGTCTACCTGTATACTCCTGCCTCCAGTCAGTGCTGACTACAACTTTTTGGTAAAACCTGCCCATCACTTCCTCATCTCCTCTGTTTCTTTCACCAACATGTTCATTCAGTTCTGCTCTGATCACCACTCTCTCCTCCTGGGAACCGCTTCATCTACATCCTTCCAGAGTTTTTCTTTCTTCTCTTCCTCACAACAAAATTCAACATCAGACCTACTTCTACATTCAGACACATCATCCTATCTGACACTCTTTTCACCTCGACTACAGTTTTTGCTTACATCAGGACCACCCCTACTCTATTTCTTTGACTATAAGTAGCACAGTTTTTACCATTTGTCAACAGCACCAATGGCGATTATTGTTAAACCCAAGCTTCAACTGCAAAAGTGTTTTCTGACGGATGCCCTTCCTGACACAAACATCATCATTTGTGCTTGGCAGCATGAGAGATACACTGGCTTGTGCTCCCTAGTGGCTGGTTTAAAGTATCTCACAAACTACTGGATACATTTTATATTAAGAAATAATTACCCGACAAACCTCTATAACTGATCAACTTTTAAAGCCAATCCAGTTCAAAATGGCTACTGAAAGCCAGCTGACTTTTTTTTTCATTCAGTTTTACAGATTTGAGCTGACATGTGTGGTTCTAAGAGTTATTCACAGCAAAAAAAAAGTAAATGGTACTCATTGTGCCAGATATTTGATTTAATCATAAGTACTACTTGTTGGAGTCAACTCTGCTTGTCTGTTAGCAAAATATCTACGTACATCTACAACTGACAAACTTTTGGAGTCAATCCAATTGACCCTGGCATAACAGTCAAAGGACAAATGACTTTAAAAGGCTTTTTTATTACACAATCATCCATTTATTTATTTTTTTTATTTCATCATTCTCAATCTGATTTATCCAGCTGATCCGGTTGAAACTATCTGCAGTCATGGTTGCAAAGTGGAATAAATCTTCTGCAACATAAAACTACAGTATTAAGTGAGAATACCTTATTTTGTTGACACAGAATGGTTTCCTGAATACTTCATGTGGACCCATCACTGAATCAGAAGATGAAAGCAACATGGAGGACCTGGACCAGCCAATTGACCTCAAAGACCTTCCTGGATGCATCAACTGGAACTCCCAACTTCCCGCCAACATCATAGTTCCYACAGTTGACATCCACAGTCTGGTCCTGGACTTTGCTGCTGTCTCCTTTTTGGACATATCTGCTCTGAAAGGACTCAAAGCTGTGTGTAATTCTTCTGAATATGATTATAAACATCTATCTTTAACCTTTTCTCTTAACAGTAATCTCTGCTTGTCTGTAGTTACTGAAAGAGTTGATTCGTGTTGAAGTTGAGATCTACATTGTGGCATGTGATGGTAAGTATGAAACTCCATAATCAAAGTTACAAGTGTGTTGTACATTAGATTATGTTGGTCATTTTTATTATAGTGATATCTGCAAAACTGGGTATTTCATCTGTTTCACTTCAATGCAAAAAAGCTGACATCCATTTATGAATTATGGCTGCATGAATGAAAATGTATCGTTTACATTCACCCATCAATCCATTTTCTGCATTTATCTGTGCTCGAGTCGGTAAGACAGCAGATCTAGGAGGGAAACCCAGAGGTCCTTTTCCCCAGCAACTTTTTCTAGGGGTCCTGAGGGATCCTAAGGTGTTCCCAGGCCAGAGAGGATGTACTAATCATTACAGCATATTCTGCATCCCAGGGTCGCACTTTTTCCATCCCTGCAAAAGTTTACTCCAGGTTGTTGGGAAGGAGGCAACAACTGATTGTTCACCCTCAGATTCAGGAGGAGCAGTGTGGCTTCCATCCTTGTCCTGAACAGTGGACCAGATCTTTAGCCTTGCAGAGTTGCTATGGGGGCCATGGAGTGTCTGGGTTGCTATTAAGACTGATCCAGTCTCTGTAGAACCAAAGCAGGAGCTGTGTCTGCATTCTTGGCACAAAGTTGAGCTCGTTTTCAGTGTGGGTTGGACTCCATCAGGGCTGTCCCTTGTCTCCAATCCTGTTTGTAGTGTTTATGGACAGGATCTGAAGGTCCAGTCATGGAGAGAAGGGTGTATGGTTTGGGAATGAGAGTCAAGTACTCTAAGCCTGAGGTCATGGTTCTCAATCCTTAAACAGGTGAATGTWCCCTTTGAGTCAGATGGTAGTTTTTGCCTCAAGTGGAGGCATTCAAGTATCTTGTCTATGAMTGATGGTAGAATGGAGCAAGAGATGGATCGAAGGAACAAGGCCTCCTCCTCATTAATGTGGGCATTGCTTTGATCAATCGTGGTGAAGAAAGAGCTGAGTTGAAGGACAATGCTCTTGATTTACAAGTCTGTGTTCCAACCCTCACCTGTGGTCATGAGGTTTGGATCCTGTCTGAAAGAACAAGATCCTGGATACAAGAGGCCAAAATGAGCTTCCTTCATTAGCCAGGCTCAGCCTTAGAGATAAGGCGAGGAGAAAAGCAGTATTCTTCCAGGGAGACTTTGGAGTTGAGCCACTGCCCCTCCACATTGAGAGAAGTCAGTTGAGTTGTTCAGGCACCTGATTAGGATGCCTCCTAGACGCCTCCCTTTAGAGATGTTCCAGGCACATCCCACTGATGGGAGACTTCGGGGAAGACCCAGGACTCCCTGGCCTGTGAACATCTTGGGGTCTACCAGGACAAGCTGGAGTGTCACTCGAAAGAAGGAGTTCTGAATTTCTCTCCTGGACCTGTTATCTCTGCAACTCGATTGCGGATGATCAGCAGAAGATGGAAATGGATATTAAGTGTTATTACATTTATCACTTTATGACAATAAAAATCGCTAAAATTAAAATGTTATTGGCTTTTATTACATTGTCAGTTGCTACAGGCTCACAAGGTTGCAGGCAACAAGAATGCTTTTTAGTAAATGCTTGTTTCACACTTAATAGAAAATAAAAATGTGAAAAAATATAAATGAAAACACAAACAACTAGTAGAACCATCTATTCTCTGTGAGAACCAAGTGATTATTAATAAAAAAAAGCATATAAGTAGGTCCTCTGGACAGGTTCAGTTTTAATGAAACATTTCATCTCGGAGAGATGAAATGTTTCATTAAAGAACCAATTCTAAAGTGATTAATGTAATAATCAAATTTATTTTGAATAATGGTTTCATTAACCATCATATCTTCAGCAGGATAACACTGTAGTTAAAATGACAAATATCTCTGTTTCTCTTGACCCGCAGCTTACATCCTGGAAAAACTTCATAACTGCGGCTTTTTTGATGATGAAATTCAACCATCCATGTTCTACCTATCTCTACATGATGCCATACTGCAKATTATGGAAATTCACCCAGAGTCAATAGAAAAGAAATCAGACTATGAAAAGGTGAAAAGTTGTAACTTTTTATGCAAGAAATACCATAAATCTGTGCCACACACTGATGTTTTTATTGTTCTACAGATAATAACAACCGTCACAGTTCACCACCCCGGTAGCCTACGGATCAGAGATAAAAATGTATGTAATAATGCTGCCTCAGCATACTGTTTTCCTGTTTGAAATTACTTCTGTGCATTTTTTTGAAAACAAACTATCTCAGCTAACTTTTGTCTGTCTTTCCTGTGTAAAAACATTCAACTCTTTCAGGACATTACATCAATGATTTTAGTTTTTTTTATACTTTTAGTATTATTGAACTTTTTAAAAACTTTTTTATCTCTTAGAAATGCCTTAAAGTCTCCTTAAGGCTAATTTTATGCTTTCTGAATGCTTCATCAAAAAATTATTTGCCTTGAACTGCTGGTTACAAAATGTATTTTATTTGATTTATTGAAACGTACAGTATGTGTTTAATTTCATATTTTTTATTACAGATTGTTAGCTAACTTTTGATCCGTTATTTCAGTCTGTAGTTACCATTCTGAAAGTGTCACATATTTCAAACTAAGCCAAACATTCCCTCTTTTTTTTCCTCTTGCCACACAGGATCCAGGACAGGAGACCAAGTTCTAATCTAATCAGAGAAGTGATGACAGCAGAAGTAAATCTGCAGAAACAAAATGACAATCAAAGAATATAGGTTTAGCATATTTTGGTACAATGTAACCTATTTACCTATTAAATATATGGACTTTTTATGCTTCTGTGAAGAACTGGGTAACTCACAATCATTCTTAAAAAGAGCCCTTCTCATTACGTATCAAGTTTTAAAAAATGTAGATAAATACAACCTCAGAAGAAAAACCTACTCTATTACACCATGTTGTATTTCATTAACCAAAGTTTTTAAACTTTAAAGCCATTTTAAACTTAATACATTGTAAAGCTTCTTTAACTGGCAAAGCATTAAGCTAAAATCATATTATTCTGAGGCAGACTGAACTTCTAGCCATTTTGGTCAAACCATGGAAATAACAAGCCTAAAAAATAAAAACTGATCTCTGAGGCAGACTGAACTTCTAGCCATTTTGGTCAAACCATGGAAATAACAAGCCTAAAAAATAAAAACTGATCATGTCTAGGTGTAGAAAAAACTATTTAAAGTGCATTTTTTATCAGAATTGTATATACTGTAATAAATGAAGAAGTATTTCTGGATTTATTTTTTACTGTTTTGTAGGAAAAACTATGCTTTGTTTTTTTACATACTTTACATAGTTTCTGTTCAAATCTGTTTTGGACGATATATATTTTATGTGTTGCAGTGGTATATTTTCATGACATTGTTTATTAATAAACTCTTTGCCACAGAGTTTTCAAAATACTGTTCTGTTTGTCCTAAAAAAACCAACACAAGACGGAATAAAATATCAGGAAACATGAAAATCTCTTAAGTTCACTGAATGGGTACAGAATAAAGGGATACATAATCTTTAATTATGTCAGGAAATAATGCRGAAATTACAGTTCACAAAAATAAAAGATATTCACCATTTGTTATTCGTTTTCTTTTGGCAGTAATTACAAATCCTTGCAATTGCAGCAATGTAACAGTGATTTTAACCATTCATTAAAGGTTTGTTACAGAGCATTCATCTAACAGCATCATGTAAACCAAGAAACACACCAGACAGGTTAAATGTTGATAAGTTTAAAGCGGAGTTAGGACATAAAACAATATCCCAAACTGTTATTGTAAAAGAAAATAAGAGGAAGCCTATAAATGTTGACGTTAGCAGTTAGCTCAGGGAACATGCAAACTACTCACTGGCAAGACTTCAATCTGGCAGCCCGCTCTACTAACAACCAACTAACGAAAATCAGACTTTGTGTTTGAATTGTGTGTGGCTTAACAATTAAAAATAAAAATAATAAAACTGTCATCGCCAAAAAAAAAGATGGTACCCTTAACTTCRTRTTTTGTTGCACAAATTTTGAGTCAGTCACTGAAGTGATTTCTGTAACTCTGAAACTTCTGCATCTGTCCACAGGTACTTTTAGTTCAGTGTTTTTCAAAGTGGAGCTGTGGCCCCTCGGGGTGCCGCTAGACGGTGCTATAAAAATTATTTTCTAAATGTTTAAAATCATTGTCAGAAACTCAAATGCTTTTCAATCAGTATTTTAAAATATAATTTATGATAATATATTGAAATGTTATCAAAGACATCTTAAGAGAGGTTTGATTTCTTCTGTCCCTCTGGTTTAAAATATGTGAATTAATAAACCTAATAAACTGCTAAACAAATGTTATACGTATTGAATAGTGAATAAAAATGAAAAACATTCTAAAAGTAGATGTTTCTTTGCATATTTTGTAGCATTGTTTGTGGGTTTGTAAGGGGTTCCCTGGCCAAAAGCTAAAGCTGTTTAGGTATTCTGTCCCACTCATCATGATCAAACTGCTCCAGATGTTTCAGGACAGTACAGTGGTGTTTTATGTGTTTCAAGTCATTATCCTGTTGGAGGAAGGTCAACCTTTTTAATACTCAGCAGCACATTTAGCTCCAGAAAGCCTTGATAGTCTTGAGATTTCACCCTGTACAGATTGAAGACCACCTGTGTCAGATGCAGCGAAGAAGCACCAGAACAGAACCAAACCTCCTCCATGTCTCAGTCCAAGTTCTGTTTTTGGTTTTTTATTTAAAATTTAATACACTTGATGTAGATAAAATCTAATTTAAAGAATATTTTTAACTTTAATTTAAATTTATGTACTTATCACATTCCTAGTAAAGAATGACAAAGTATATATTTTACTCAAGTGTATATTTATAAWGATCATAGCTAAAAAGCAAAACAGCTTTAATATGATGACATTACTTGAAAACATACAAGTAAAGGCAATTAAATTAAGTATTTAACTTTTAACCCAGCAGATTTTTTAAAGTTTTTTATTTACGACATAAAATGTTTTTATCACTGCAAGACATTCAAGCTGTGTACAAATCACACAACCTGTTAGTATATGCATTTTGAATGCCAGTGTTTTCATTAGTATTAATGATAAATCCAATGTGTTACAGCGAAAGGTGGGATGAAGTATCAACTGGGMTGAATACAAATGCATGCATACTTTGTGAAAACCATGTTTCCTTTCAACTCACAATAAAGCTTGACTTTGTTTTGGTCTGTCTGTAGTTGTAAGATGATGAAATGTGGAAAAACTGGAAAAGAGAATACTTTTTTCAAGATATTTTATTCCCACAGCTGTTTGAATGATGTCCTTTACGTATTTTATGTTTTAGCCTGAAGTTTGTCTCTACAGGTTTAGACGACAGTCAAATAGTAACTAAAATGTCAGTTCTACTTTTTTATGTAACCCAGTATAGATCATACTAAAAGAGCTCAAAAAATAATGTTTTTTCTTTCTAAAATAAGAGGTTTTATTGTGTGAATAGTGTGAAAAACAAAACAATAATCTCAGAACATGAAAAGTGACAGTGTAAAGAAGGAAGCAGATGGATCATTCCAGATGTTTTACTGTGTAGAAAACTGCTTTTCATATTTATGTGGTTGACCTATATATGCCTTTATCTTCACTTGAAAGTGGTCAAACCCCAGAAAAGGAAAATCATGAAGAAAGTGTGATGACACACAGTATGACAACACAATAAACCATAAATGTGTTAATGATTAAACAGTACAAAGACAAAAACAATATCAAGATGACACTGATCTCAGATTTCAGATTAAGCTCTGGGCAAAGGTTCATCAAAGGATCTCTTTAAATCTGATCAGAACTGGACTTTTCAGGCCCTGGAGCTGCAAGGATGGYGACTTCAAGAAAACAGTATGTGTTGGCCAGACCTGTTTACTCTGAGGACAGCTTTGCTGAAGAACATGAGAAAATCCACAGAAAACACAAAACCTTTGCAAACAACGTTAAGGAATATCTGACGTAAGTGACCAATGGCTTCTTAAAAACCTGGATGTTGGTCTTTGGAAACATGTGCTCACTTTGATTTCTTCAGAAACAGGAATCAAATTTTGAGTGATTTAATAGCATAGAAAAAACACATTTGTTTTGTATGATTAAAACAGCTGTGATGCAAAACGGGCCAAAAATGCAGCGCTCTCTTTTTTACCCATCATCGGCTGGATGAGGACTTACAGAGTCAGAGAGTGGCTGCTGGGTGATGTGGTTTCGGGGATCAGCACTGGACTGGTGGCCATCATGCAAGGTGAGCGTTGATGCATTTGAGATGAAAAACTTTGACGTATCTTTTAAAAAGTTCTATTTTGAATATTTCAGCTTTGTGCTTTAACACAGCAAAGCAAAATTTCAAAACGATCTGTTCTTCTAACTTCATTTCTACAAAAACTCACAACAGATTCAACTATGAGATTATTGATCCAATAACGTGTGGAATCTTCTTTAACAGCAATAACTTTCAGTAGTTTTCTATTGTGGCGGCACGGTGGCTCAGTTGGTRGAGCTGATGCCTCTCAGCAAGAAGGYCGCCGGATCAAATCCCAGCCCGGGGACCTTTCTGGGTAGAGCTTGCATGTTCTCTCCGTRCATGCGTGGGTTCTCTCCGGGTACTCCGGCTTCCTCCCACAGACCAAAARCATGACWGTTAGGTWAAYTGTCCCTAGGTGTGAGTGAGWCATTGAATGGTTGTTTGTCTCATTTGTCTCWATGTGTGTCCCTGTGATGGACTTGCGACCTGTCCAGGGTGTACCCCRCCCCTYGCACTGTGACTGCTGGWTATGGGCACCAGTGACCCACACAGCCCTGAAAAGGAATAAGCGTGTACAGAAAATGGATGGATGGATAGTTTTCTATTAGACTTTATAAGTTGCTCACATGGATGTGGATGAATTGTGGCCCACTCTGYTCTCTGGTGTTTATTGAGGTTTCTGCTCAGCTTTTYGAAGGTCCCACCACATTTTTTTAACAATTGAGAGCTGTACTTTAGCTCGCTGTAGTTATTTATTTATTTATTTATTTATTTATTTATTTATTTATTTATTTATTTATTTATTTATTTATTTATTGTTATTCTATTGTAAATTAGCTGCTGTTTGGGATCATTCTTCTCAGTTCAAGCTTCAAGCTGTTGGACAAATGACCTCACATCTGACTCTAGAATCCTTTGATTGACTCAGTTACTGCAAGGAGCCTTGATCCGATGTCTTGACAGCTGGTTATGATGTGTTTGTTCTGATATGCTGTTTGTTTTTATCGAGTGTGCTGCTGTACGTAAGGGTAATCAATCTCTACTTGATCTCATCTGTTCAAAGGGTATATTTTCAAATGTTGTTTATTCAGATGAAAGAGATGAGGAAGGCTTTTCTCCTGCAACCTGAACAGTTTTCTTTTTGTCCGGTCATGACCTTCAACCTGCTGATGTCTTTCTGTCTTGAAATTGTGTTAACACAAAGCTGTCTGCTTCAAAGCAACAAACTGTCCAAACCCCTGCTTTTCTACAGGTGCAAACACTGATGAAAGTCAGGCTCTGTATTTATCAAACTTGAAGAATGTTGTTAAGAATGGACTTAAGTGTAAAAAAAATCTTAGCTTAAAGCTGAGACTAAAAGTCAGTTATCAAGCATCTCAGTGTCACTTTAAGCAAAATGTAAAATTAATACTTAAGTGTCAGTCTYAGAGATGATTTACAACACTTTGCTGTGATGCAAAGCTGATCCTGGATGACATCGTTAAAAAAAAACCAGGCATGGACCAATTAATGCATCATATTTCATGTTCAAGAATATTCTGAGAAATGTCAAGATAAAACTGTTCACTTTCAGTACAGTAATGTTCATAAATGGTAAATGGTAAATGGACTGTACTTATATAGCGCCTTTCTATCCATCCAGGACACTCAAAGCGCTTTCTTGTCACATTGTAATGATTGCACAGAAGCAGAGAGCGGCCACTTTCCACATATAATTGTTTTCCATGGTTTTTTCTGATGACAACATATTTTGTTATCACAATATAATAGGGACCATTTTCTTGAGATAACGAGTTAAGTTCCTTATGGTTTTCCTCTTGTGCATCATTCAGTAACAATAGAGATGGCCTGGACCATCATTTTAAAATCTTGCTGTGTGATGCAGCCTAAAGGGATCCCCGATTAGTTGTAACATTAGACTTTATTTAATAAACATATATTTTAACTATAAAATAAAGACTGTAAAAATACTGTAGGATG